GGGGGGGGGATAGCAAGTGATGATTGGGGGAACGGGTTGATTGGGATATTATATTTATGATCTAAAACCAAATCATATTAATACTTCCAAATCCATAATACAGGGTATAAGGGCCTGACAGCTGAGTGAACAGCGCTTCGGATTCGTAGTCGTGAGGTTCCGGGTTCGATCCTTGGTGGAGGCGGAAATAAATGGACAAAGTTTCTTTCTCCCTGATGCTCCTTGTTACCTAGTAGAAAATAGGTACCTGGGAGTTAGACAGCTGTTACGGGTTGCTTCCTGGGGGTGTGTAACAGAAAGGGGGCCTGCTCGAGGACCGGGCCGCGGGGACGCTAAGCCCCGAAATTATCTCAAGATAACCTCAAGTAGATAACCTCTTTAAATGTTGTATCAACGTCAATGGCATAGTTTCACATATGAAGCTGTATAGATGTTGTTAATGTCCTCCTACAACCTGTCCTCCTACAGCCTGTCCTCCTACAACCTGTCCTCCTACAACCTGTCCTCCTACAACCTGTCCTCCTACAACCTGTCCTCCTACAACCTGTCCGCCTACAGCCTGTCCTCCTACAACCTGTCCTCCTACAACCTGTCGTCCTACAACCTGTCCTCATACAACCTGTCCTCATACAACCTGTCCTCCTACAACCTGTCCTCCTACAACCTGTCCTCCTACAACCTGTCCTCCTACAACCTGTCTTCATGCAACCTGTCCTCCTACAACCTGTCCTCCTACAACCTGTCCTCCTACAACCTGTCCTCCTACAACCTGTCCTCCTACAACCTGTCCTCATGCAACCTGTCCTCCTACAACCTGTCCTCATGCAACCTGTCCTCCTACAACCTGTCCTCCTACAACCTGTCCTCATGCAACCTGTCCTCCTACAACCTGTCCTCCTACAACCTGTCCTCCTACAACCTGTCCTCCTACAGCCTGTCCTCCTACAACCTGTCCTCCTACAGCCTGTCCTCCTACAGCCTGTCCTCCTACAACCTGTCCTCATGCAACCTGTCCTCCTACAACCTGTCGTCCTAAAACCAGTCCTCCTACAACCTGTCCTCATGCAACCTGTCCTCCTACAACCTGTCCTCCTACAACCTGTCCTCCTACAGCCTGTCCTCCTACAGCCTGTCCTCCTACAACCTGTCCTCATGCAACCTGTCCTCCTACAACCTGTCCTCCTACAACCTGTCCGCATGCAACCTGTCCTCCTACAACCTGTCCTCCTACAACCGGTCCTCCTACAACCTGTCCTCCTGCAACCTGTCCTCCTACAACCTCTCCTCCTACAACCGGTCCTCCTACAACGTGTCCTCCTACAACCTGTCCTCATGCAACCTGTCCTCCTACAACCTGTCCTCATGCAACCTGTCCTCCTACAACCTGTCCTCCTACAGCCTGTCCTCCTACAACCTGTCCTCCTACAACCTGTCCTCCTACAACCTGTCCTCCTACAACCTGTCCTCTTACAACCTCTCCTCCTACAACCTGTCCTCCTACAACCTGTCCTCCCACTACCTGTTCTCCTACAACCTGTCCTCCTACAACCTGTCCTCCCACAACCTGTCCTCCTACAACCTGTCCTCCCACAACCTGTCCTACACTCTCTCCTCCTACAGCCTCTTCTCCTACAACCTGTCCTCCTACAACCTGTCCTCATACAACCTCTCCTCCTACAACCTGTCCTCCTACACCCTGTCCTCCTACAACCTGTCCTCCTACAACCTGTCCTCCTACAACCTGTCCTCCCACAACCTGTCGTACAACCTGTCCTCCCACAACCTGTCCTACAACCTGTCCTACAACCTGTCCTTTCCCAACCTGTCCTCCTACTACCTGTCCTCCCACAACCTGTCCTCCTACAACCTCTCCTCCTACAACCTGTCCTCTTACAACCTGTCCTCCTACAACCTGTCCTCCCACAGCCTGTCCTCCTACATCATGTCCTCCTACAACCTGTCCTCATACAACCTCTCCTCCTACAACCTGTCCTCTTACAGCCTGTCCTCCTACATCATGTCCTCCTACAACCTGTCCTCCTACAACCTCTCCTCCTACAACCTGTCCTCCTACAACCTGTCCTCCTACAACCTGTCCTCCTACAGCCTGTCCTCCTACAACCTGTCCTCTTACAACCTGTCCTCCTACAACCTGTCCTCCTACAACCTGTCCTCCTACAACCTGTCCTCCTACAACCTGTCCTCCTACAACCTGTCCTCCTACAACCTGTCCTCCTACAACCTGTCCTCCTACAACCTGTCCTCCTACAACCTGTCCTCCTACAACCTGTCCTCCTACAACCTGTCCTCCTACAACCTGTCCTCCTACAGCCTGTCCTCCTACAACCTGTCCTCCTACAACCTGTCCTCCTACAACCTGTCCTCTTACAACCTGTCCTCCTACAACCTGTCCTCCTACAACCTGTCCTCCTACAACCTGTCCTCCTACAACCTGTCCTCCTACAACCTGTCCTCCTACAACCTGTCCTCCTACAACCTGTCCTCCTACAACCTGTCCTCCTACAACCTGTCCTCCTACAACCTGTCCTCCTACAACCTGTCCTCCTACAGCCTGTCCTCCTACAACCTGTCCTCCTACAACCTGTCCTCCTACAACCTGTCCTCCTACAACCTGTCCTCCTACAGCCTGTCCTCCTACAGCCTGTCCTCCTACAACCTGTCCTCCTACAACCTGTCCTCCTACAACCTGTCCTCCTACAGCCTGTCCTCCTACAACCTGTCCTCCTACAACCTGTCCTCCTACAACCTGTCCTCCTACAACCTGTCCTCCTACAACCTGTCCTCCTACAAAGAACGTCGCTTTTCGATCGTATGCGTCACATAAGGCCAAAAAATTACCGTACTAGAAAATGGAAGCGGCTGGCGAAAGTGACGTACTGTCCCGTTTTCTGTTTTGGGTCCTCTGGTAGGTTAGGAGAGACCACTTTAAATTGACCGTTTTCTGGACGTTGGAAAACCTTATGTGGACGGGCTACGTGATCATCGTGGTTACATGGGACAGGAATTTGGTGGAAAAATATAGTGATGGACCACCATCACTATAGTGATGGAAAAAAATAATAATAAAATAAAATCAATAATAAAATAAAGTGATGGACCATCACTAAAGCACTTTTTTTACTATTAATTATATAGTCAGAAAAAATAAAGCTCAAAATCAAACTTAGGTCTTCCTTGGAGTAGCATAGCCCACATATATACTATTTTAGGCCTAAGATACCGTGTATTAGGGCTATTAATGCCAGCAGATGTCTAAGTTAGGTTGGCCTAAGTTAGGTTAGGTTATGACTTAGTTTTGCGGTTAAAGGAAGTGGTAAAATTCACTAATGCGAAAGTTAACTTTCTGGTGGACCACACAACACATTGCTACTTTAGAGCAAAGAGTTGCAATAAGTGCTTTCTTTTTACGAGGATGGGCTGGGTACTGAATACCTGGTAAGTGTTCTTTTACTGTTATTGTGAATTCTGAACTCTGAGTAGGTCAGACGGTGTGTGTGTATAATGTTATATGTTCTGAGAGAGAGAGAGAGAGAGAGAGAGAGAGAGAGAGAGAGAGAGAGAGAGAGAGAGAGAGAGAGAGAGGAGGGGGGGGGGTGGAGTTGAGACCTTTCTCTTTATTCCTCACTATATTCTCTCCCAGTCTACCTCCTCTCTCATATCTCTTTCCGTCTCTCCCTCTCTTCCACTCTCCTACTCCCTATCCACCTTTCGTACCTCACTCCCCCCTCCCCCCTCCCTCAACATCAACCCCACTTTCTCTCTCACACTTCTCTTCTAATCTCAGCCCAGATTCAGTGGTGGTGTCAGTCATCCCCACCACTACATTCCTCTTCATTCTCTTCTTATTTCTGCATCTGTCTCTGCCTGTCTGTCTCTGTGTGTTGTTGTCTGTCTGTCTCTATTTTTTTCTGTCTGTCTCTTCGACCTGGTCCACCCTGTCATTCTACCCTCTTTCTTATCGTCTTCACCTGTCTTCCCATTCTTCCCCCCCCCCTCATCGTGTACTACTTGCCCCCACTAGCTACCCTCTGCACCCCTATCCCCTGTCTCAGCTCTCCTCCCCTCTCCCCTGTCTTCTCCTCCCGTCTTGCGTCTGAGAACCAGTTGGGCTAACCGCTGCAGAATGAAGAAGTGTCTCTGATGGCCAACTTAAGTTGGTCTGTCCTCGTAAAGGACAGATGCGACGGGACAGGGACATTCAGGGGCAGGTGCGACGGGACAGGAACATTCCGGGACAGATGCGATGTATGTCTTATGGCTAGACATGTTAGGGAGTCGATAGGATCCAATTCCAAGTGGTGGGAGGAACCTGATTCATTCTGGCTGTGACCAAACACCCACCTTCAGATGCTCAGGAGCTGGCCATATGGATCTATGGCCGTCGTCGACCACGAGTGAGCTGGACCTCGCTTTCTCTGTCCAGGACAATACTTTCACCGGATAAATTTTTTTTGTTCATTTTACAAGCTGCTTCCCACCGTCACTATCACTCTCCTACTGGCAGAGCATCACGTAGAATCCTTAAGATAATCTACATGTGTGGCTTCGAGTTAACTGTGGACAGAAATGATAACCTCACACTCACCATAACGTGAAGAAACGACTACGTTTCAGTCCGTCCCGGACCATTATCAAGCCGGGTCTTGATGATGATGGTTCAGGATAATGGTTTCGGTCCAGGACAGACCCAAACGTCGTCTCGTTTCTCAATTTTCTGGTGTAAGGTTTTGGTCATCATATCTTCAGCCACGTTATTGTGACTCATCGTCTGCATGGGGCAGAAAGTCACGCCATTCACCTGGGCTCTGGAAGACTCGAACACTGGATCCCACGACTGTGAGGCCGAAGCTCTATCGACTGGGCTATGAGTAGCCTTAATAAGGAAAGCTTATTTCCACGGAAGTGTGGATAACCGAAAGACACATTTAATCGCAATAGTACACATTGTATAAACATAATTAAGTTTTTCTTCCTGAACTTTACACAAGAAGTTCAGAACAACTGATGCCCATCTTCAGAAGTATGCAGGAGTCGAACGAGGCCATCATGTAGCATATTACTTGAGACTCTTCCACAACTGCTTGAGACTCTTCCACAACTGCTTGAGTCTCTTCCACAACTGCTTGAGACTCTTCCACGAATGCTTGAGACTCTTCCACAACTGCTTGAGTCTCTTCCACAACTGCTTGAGTCTCTTCCACAACTATTTGAGACTCTTCCACAACTGCTTGAGACTCTTCCACAACTGCTTGAGACTCTTCCACAACTGCTTGAGACTCTTCCACAACTGCTTGAGACTCTTCCACAACTGCTTGAGACTCTTCCACAACTGCTTGAGTCTCTTCCACAACTGCTTGAGACTCTTCCACGAATGCTTGAGTCTCTTCCACAACTGCTTGAGTCTCTTCCACAACTGCTTGAGACTCTTCCACAACTGCTTGAGACTCTTCCACGACTGCTTGAGACTCTTCCACAACTGCTTGAGACTCTTCCACAACTGCTTGAGACTCTTCCACAACTGCTTGAGACTCTTCCACAACTGCTTGAGACTCTTCCACAACTGCTTGAGACTCTTCCACAACTGCTTGAGACTCTTCCACAACTGCTTGAGACTCTTCCACGACTGCTTGAGTCTCTTCCACAACTGCTTGAGACTCTTCCACAACTGCTTGAGTCTCTTCCACAACTGTTTGAGACTCTTCCACAACATCTTGAGACTCTTCCACAACTGCTTGAGACTCTTCCACAACTGCTTGAGACTCTTCCACAATTGCTTGAGACTCTTCCACAACTGCTTGAGTCTCTTCCACAACTGCTTGAGTCTCTTCCACAACTACTTGAGTCTCTTTCACAACTGCTTGAATCTCTTCCACAACTGCTTGAGTCTCTTCCACAACTGCTTGAGACTCTTCCAGAACTGCTTGAGACTCTTCCACAACTGCTTGAGACTCTTCCACAACTGCTTGAGACTCTTCCACAACTGCTTGAGACTCTTCCACAACTGCTTGAGACTCTTTCACAACTGCTTGAGACTCTTCCACAACTGCTTGAGTCTCTTCCACAACTGCTTGAGACTCTTCCACAACTGCTTGAGACTCTTCCACAACTGCTTGAGACTCTTCCACAACTGCTTGAGACTCTTCCACAACTGCTTGAGACTTCCACAACTGCTTGAGACTCTTCCACAACTGCTCGAGAGTCTTCCACAACTGCTTGAGAGTCTTCCACAACTGCTTGAGAGTCTTCCACAACTGCTTGAGACTTCCACAACTGCTCAAACTGTATTACTTGTGACTCCGCCCGTCCTAAAGCCAGGCTCGTTAAAGCTTCGCCCGTCCCCCAAGATACATTCAACAGTTTTAACACAGTCTGTATTAAAAATAGATGTTTATGAATGAAAAGCAGTTTGCACACGACTCATGACTGATAACGTTCGAATATTTTTCGAACAGTGCTTCCTTTACGACCTATGTTCGAGTCGCCTCGCTGTAACTGCTTGACCCACGTACTACAAATACAAATAATCGCCAACAGAACCTAAACACCTAATCTAACCTATGCCTATTTATGCACAATACCCTCATATATTATGATATTAATTTATATTTGAGAAAATTCCTGTTTTGAATGAACAGCAGGTAAAAAATTATGAATGCGTCTGTGGGGTCGACCGCTGGATGGAATGGACTTAAGTCGAGGACGGGTTGGGGCAGGTTGCCCACGTAATAAATATGCAAATAACTGCCAACACAACCTGAACACTTACCTCAGGTTAACCTCACCTGACCTAAATCTTTCACACACACACATAGTTCTAATATATGCAGAATTAATTTATATTTAAGAAAAGTATAATTGGAGGATTAGTTGGAATGTATACAATTCAAACAGATAACACAGCATCTAAGATAACCTCTCTTAGGCCACATATACAAAAATGTATTGTATAAGAATATTATTTCATGTCAAAGAAAGTAATATTTTTGGCTTTACTCAGTACGAACAAATTGATGAATACCTCTCTCTCTCTCTCGTCGCGCCGCCGCTCGAACTACCCTAGCCTAATAATGGCTTGTTTCCCCGTCCCTGTGAGAGTCTGGTGGTTGGCGCTGGAGCCGGGCGAGTACCCCACACCTCACACGCCTCCATTGGTCGCTTGGCCTTTTGTGGTCAGTGTTTGGTGACGTCCGATGTGATGAGTGTGTGGAGTGAATTAGAACAAGTTTCGTCAGGTGTCCTTACTGGCATCCCGTGTCAGCTTGCTGATGAGCAAGGACACTTTTAAGTGTTTCATCATGTATGAATCCTGTTTCTTTGTGTGCGAACATTGCCCATGTTGTGTATAGAAAGTATAAGTACACACATTTGTGCGTTGTGTATTGTATACACACATTTCGTGAAATGTGTGTATATACGTGTGTATATACGTAGCCACACCACGAAGCCTACATGGGTTTCCGTTTACATATTGAAATTGTCATCATGAAGACATGATGAGACATGATGAGCACTCCACCTCCCGTATTGTAAAGGTAGGTAAGTACCCCCTTAAAGCTGTTATCATCACCAGAGCGACGGTCACTCGCCCTACAGTAAGCTTACAGCCTCACGAGTCTTAGTCTTACCATTATTGTCGTTCTAATTTTCATTGTGGAGTATTTTGTATGCTCAGCTTACCATGGACCTGGTCGAGTTTGTTGTTAATGATTCGCTACTTGGAACAGGGTTCCAAGTAGCACGGGCTATGGTGAGCCCGTAGTTATTGCCTGGTCGAGTATATTGATAAGAGCGCTTGTGGTCATTGAGTTGATGATTAGGGCTCCTGTTGTCGTTAAGTTTACTGTTGTCTTTAGTTAGTTCTATTACAACAAATAACTCTACTACAGCCTTGTAGGCTTACTTCAACACCATACTGTGTAGTCCTCAACACCATACTGTGTAGTCCTCTACACCATACTGTGTAGTCCTCTACACCATACTGTGTAGTCCTCAGCACCATACTGTGTAGTCCTCAGCATAATACTGTGTAGTCCTCTACACCATACTGTGTAGTCCTCAACACCATACTGTGTAGTCCTCTACACCATACTGTGTAGTCCTCAACACCATACTGTGTAGTCCTCAACACCATACTGTGTAGTCCTCTACACCATACTGTGTAGTCCTCTACACCATACTGTGTAGTCCTCAACACCATACTGTGTAGTCCTCAACACCATACTGTGTAGTCCTCTACACCATACTGTGTAGTCCTCTACACCATACTGTGAAGTCCTCTACACCATGCTGTGTAGTCCTCTACACCATACTGTGTAGTCCTCAACACCATATTGTGTAGTCCTCTACACCATACTGTGTAGTCCTCAACACCATACTGTGTAGTCCTCAACACCATACTGTGTAGTCCTCTACACCATACTGTGAAGTCCTCTACACCATACTGTGTAGTCCTCAACACCATACTGTGTAGTCCTCAACACCATACTGTGTAGTCCTCTACACCATACTGTGTAGTCCTCTACACCATACTGTGTAGTCCTCAACACCATACTGTGTAGTCCTCAACACCATACTGTGTAGTCCTCTACACCATACTGTGTAGTCCTCTACACCATACTGTGAAGTCCTCTACACCATACTGTGTAGTCCTCTACACCATACTGTGTAGTCCTCAGCACCATACTGTGTAGTCCTCTACACCTTACTGTGTAGTCCTCTACACCATACTGTGTAGTCCTCTACACCTTACTGTGTAGTCCTCTACACCTTACTGTGTAGTCCTCTACACCATACTGTGTAGTCCTCTACACCTTACTGTGTAGTCCTCTACACCATACTGTGTAGTCCTCTACACCATACTGTGTAGTCCTCTACACCATACTGTGTAGTCCTCTACACCATACTGTGTAGTCCTCTACACCTTACTGTGTAGTCCTCTACACCTTACTGTGTAGTCCTCTACACCATACTGTGTAGTCCTCTACACCTTACTGTGTAGTCCTCTACACCATACTGTGTAGTCCTCTACACCATACTGTGTAGTCCTCTACACCATACTGTGTAGTCCTCAGCACCATACTGTGTAGTCCTCAGCATAATACTGTGTAGTCCTCTACACCATACTGTGTAGTCCTCTACACCATACTATGTAGTCCTCTACACCATACTGTGTAGTCCTCAGCATAATACTGTGTAGTCCTCTACACCATACTGTGTAGTCCTCTACACCATACTATGTAGTCCTCTACACCATACTGTGTAGTCCTCAGCATAATACTGTGTAGTCCTCTACACCATACTGTGTAGTCCTCTACACCATACTATGTAGTCCTCTACACCATACTGTGTAGTCCTCAGCATAATACTGTGTAGTCCTCTACACCATACTGTGTAGTCCTCTACACCATACTATGTAGTCCTCTACACCATACTGTGTAGTCCTCAGCATAATACTGTGTAGTCCTCTACACCATACTGTGTAGTCCTCTACACCATACTATGTAGTCCTCTACACCATACTGTGTAGTCCTCAGCATAATACTGTGTAGTCCTCTACACCATACTGTGTAGTCCTCTACACCATACTATGTAGTCCTCTACACCATACTGTGTAGTCCTCAGCATAATACTGTGTAGTCCTCTACACCATACTGTGTAGTCCTCTACACTATACTGTGTAGTCCTCTACACCATACTATGTAGTCCTCTACACCATACTGTGTAGTCCTCTACACCATACTGTGTAGTCCTCTACACCATACTGTGTAGTCCTCTACACCATACTATGTAGTCCTCTACACCTTACTGTGTAGTCCTCTACACCATACTGTGTAGTCCTCTACACCATACTATGTAGTCCTCAACACCATACTGTGTAGTCCTCAACACCATACTGTGTAGTCCTCAACACCATACTGTGTAGTCCTCAACACCATACTGTGTAGTCCTCAGCATAATACTGTGTAGTCCTCTACACCATACTGTGTAGTCCTCTACACTATACTGTGTAGTCCTCTACACCATACTATGTAGTCCTCTACACCATACTGTGTAGTCCTCTACACCATACTGTGTAGTCCTCTACACCATACTATGTAGTCCTCTACACCATACTGTGTAGTCCTCTACACCATACTGTGTAGTCCTCTAAACCATACTATGTAGTCCTCTACACCATACTATGTAGTCCTCTACACCATACTGTGTAGTCCTCTACACCATACTATGTAGTCCTCTACACCATACTGTGTAGTCCTCTATACCATACTGTGTAGTCCTCTACACCATACTGTGTAGTCCTCTACACCATACTGTGTAGTCCTCTACACTATACTGTGTAGTCCTCTACACCTTACTGTGTAGTCCTCTACACCATACTATGTAGTCCTCTACACCATACTATGTAGTCCTCTACACTATACTATGTAGTCCTCTACACCTTACTGTGTAGTCCTCTACACCATACTATGTAGTCCTCTACACCATACTATGTAGTCCTCTACACCTTACTGTGTAGTCCTCTACACCATACTGTGTAGTCCTCTACACCATACTGTGTAGTCCTCTACACCATACTGTGTAGTCCTCTACACCATACTGTGTAGTCCTCTACACCATACTGTGTAGTCCTCTACACCATACTGTGTAGTCCTCTACACCATACTGTGTAGTCCTCTACACTATACTGTGTAGTCCTCTAAACTATACTGTGTAGTCCTCTACACCATACTGTGTAGTCCTCTACACCATACTGTGTAGTCCTCTACACCATACTGTGTAGTCCTCTACACCATACTGTGTAGTCCTCTACACCATACTGTGTAGTCCTCAGCACCGTACTGTGTAGTCCTCTACACCATACTGTGTAGTCCTCTACACCATACTGTGTAGTCCTCTACACCATACTGTGTAGTCCTCTACACCATACTGTGTAGTCCTCTACACCATACTGTGTAGTCCTCTACACCATACTGTGTAGTCCTCTATACCATACTGTGTAGTCCTCTACACCACACTATGTAGTCCTCTACACCTTACTGTGTAGTCCTCTACACCGTACTGTGTAGTCCTCAGCACCGTACTATGCAGTCCTCTACACCACACTGTGTAGTCCTCTACACCATACTGTGTAGTCCTCTACACCATACTGTGTAGTCCTCAGCACCATACTGTGTAGTCCTCTACACCACACTGTGTAGTCCTCTACACCATACTGTGTAGTCCTCTACACCATACTGTGTAGTCCTCTACA